CTGTTGTTGTTTCTTATGAGACATCACCATCCTCTCCATTTTGCTGTAAAATAACTAACAAGGATATATATATCTGTTTATACCCTGTATCTTTCTTTCATTCTTTTAGGTTTTTATTTTCATTTTCTTTAGTTTTTGTTACCTTTTCTGGTTTTGTGGGGAAACCCTTGGATGTCTTCTATCTCTCACTGCATTGTGAGCTCTTTTAAGCTTACTCATTTCGTGTTTCCTAGTTCATTGCCTGCCACAGCATAGGTGCCTGGGAAATATTTTTAGAAAGAGTAAATGTAGGCTAACTTTGTCCCTTGCAATTGCCTTCAAACAGTTTTTTGCAGTCGTTTATGCTCTATGCAAATTTGGGTTACCATGTGTATTTGTGTATATATAATTTTTCACTCATTTGTCTTGGCCAGCTCTCTTTTGTCAAAATCTCCCCTCCCCCTTATTATATCTGTTGCAGCTTTATAGAAATTCAAACATAATTAGAAACAACCTTTCTGGCCCAAGTCTGGAGGGCATTTCTCTCTTTTTTCCTGCTGCTTAAAACAAAAGAACAAAACTGTTATTGATGCTTATTCTGTTTACTCATTCTTGAAGTTGGAGAAGTGCAATAGGACCGGGCTCAGTCAGTGTGTTTTATGGCCCACGGTCAGATGGGACCCTGTGGAGAACAGGTTGATATGCATGGCCTCGGCCCTGCTCAGAGCCTAGGAGGCACTCATCGCCTTGTGTTGATTGGCCTAATGTGGCAGCTTCTGCTGCTTCTCCAGTCTGCTTTGCTGAAGAACAGTGTATAGTGCCCACTCTGAATGTAACATTATATGTCATAAACATGAACTTGTAATAATAACAATAATAATAACAAAAATGAGGAAAGGAGATCTAGAGGTGGAGGGAGGGAAGTGGACAGGGAAGGGAAGGGGAATAAAAAAGAATCAAGATATGTTCTCTGTATGTACCTGCTCCTTATGATGAATGCAAGCTTCATGTCCTGGAAACAGGTACTAATAAAATAAAATTTTTAAAATAGAGTATTGACATGTAAAAATAATGTATAGCATGGTCTTAAAACTCTGAGATAGGCTTTATGGAAAAATTACTGTCACCATCTTATTCCAAGAAGGCCCTGCTTTCAGAATTCCTCCATTTCTTTTGCCCTCACCTTAAGCACTTTATCTTTGGCTAAGATAGATACTAAGAATTAAAGGCTCACAACAGACATGAAATGGTACTGAGTAACCTAGAGTCCACAAGTCTACGGCCTATCTAAATTCAAAATATGCCCTATTTTACCTTCGGAATGTCTTCATTTTACAGATATGCCCACTGGATGATAACTTCTCAATCTAGTCTGTCTATCAAAGCTAGATGGGTGCTTAAGCTTTTGGTGTTTAGGTAGCAAGTGGAAAATGACTAGTTCTCAGTGGTGGTAACTAGGAACCTATGGCACGCATGCTGCAGTGGGCTTTTTTTTTTTTAATCATTGAAAGTGCTATAAAGTTCGCTATCACGGAACCAGGTGGTGGGGTAATGTAATTGGGTGGATGCACATGCAGTAAGCAGCACAGCTGCCCACAGAGTCACAGCAGCCTCAAGGTTGTGAATGATGTCCACTCCTAGAGCTCAGTCCAGGAGTGGAGAAGGGCTGGTGGTGGTGTGAGAGCTGGGCAGCCAGGGAAGTAATGCTTTAATTTACCAGGGCTCTGGGAGCTGGAACACTATGGTTTGAGAGTATGAGTTTTGTTTTCCCTCAAAGAATGAGTTCCAAAATTGAAGACTAATGATCCTATAAAAGTGTAAAATGAGAGCCAGTCGTGGTAGTTTTTTTTTTTTCATGGTAGTTAATGTCTGTAATCCCAGCACTTGGAAGGCTGAGACAGGAAGATCATTGCAAACTGCCAGCTTGGGCTACATAGTGAGTTCAAGGCCAGTCTGAATTTTATAGCAAGGCCCTGTCTCAAAAAACAAAAACAAAACAAAAACAAACAAACAAGTTTACAGTGAAGGGAGGGGAGAGGGAGGAGAGGGAAAGGGTATGAAAAAAGAATTGAGAAGTGTTATGTACATGTACCAACTCCTCAGGATAATCATTAGGTGCTGCAAGCATGTACTAATAAAAATAAAATTTTTTTGAAGTACAAATTAAATTTTAAAAGCAAGTTTAATATTTTAAATAAATTTTATAGTTACTAAATTCAATAGGTACATTTGAAATATGAAAAAAGAATACTGTAGTAAGAGGCACTTATGGTATTGTACTGTTACATAATCCTACTACTTCTAAAATGTTAATTTTTTTTCCACTTAATAAAAGCTCCCTCTGGTCCCCCTTCTATCTCTCTTAGACAGAAGCTTTCTTTCTCTCAATAAATTTTTCCTACTCTTAAAAAAAAAAGAAGCTCCAAAAAGTAAGGATTATATTTTTCTTATTTGTGGCTGTAAACTTAATTCTAAGCAAGGTACCTGTGCAATGCAGAGTACTTAACTAGGATTATTTATTCAACAAATAAATGAATGTACCAACAAGCAAATGAACAAATTGTAAGATAAAGAACCAGGAAATTCTGGCCAAACAGCATATTAACATGGAAGTCCTGAAAATGTTTGTCCTTTCAGCAAATTGGCATTAGAATTAGACCGATAGAGTGAGAACCAAGCAAAATAGGTAGGTAATTGACAAAAAAACCACTCTTATCATCTGTGGTCTGTTTTGATGGCAGGGATTATTTAGTTGAAAATCCTACAGTTACATTTCTTTCCCTTAGTATGGTAGGACTACATGGTGAAAGAACTATTACACAAATGCATTTAGCTTCTTTATAAAATTCTGTTTTAATGTCAAATATTTGAACATTGAGTATTAGAATAAATTTCTATTTTGAAAAAATAACAAGAAAAGTATAATTGACTCAAAGAGCAGAAATATCAAAGAACGTTTAAGATAGAATCATCTCAACTACTATGCCTTTCTCTTTGGTGAAACAATTTGTTAAATATGTCATGGAACAGTTTGTATAATAGCAGCTAAACATAGAATACCTTACTTGTACGAAGCCCTATTCCAGGTGCTCCACATATCTTTCCTCTTGACGACAGTTATTATCTTCCCCATTTACAGATGAGTCTTAGGGAGATCACGTATCTGGAGATCACCCAGGTAGTAAGCAACAGTCTCCTAGTCTGTCCAGCTATCCATGACTCAGCACCCACCCTACCCACTACACAAACTTTTAAATCCAGTCTACCTTTATTTATGTTTAGATCTGTTTATTAGAGGGAAGATTTATAAAGAAAAGCCTAAGTACATCTTTATAATTTCATTCCTGAGTTTCACAGACACAGAGATAAAATGTGCATCTAAAAAAACCATCTCTTTTTGTGCAACCTATATCACCCATGAGGCTCACGGTAGAATCTTCCCATGTTTTATCTTCAGATTCTATGGCAACTTTGTATCAACTTTATAGGCTGATTAGATTCTTTTTTTCTTCTTTGGTACCGGGGATCAAACTCGGGTCCTTGCGCTTGTGCAGCAGGCGGCGAAACCACTGAGCTAAATCCTCGGCCCTTGCTGATTAGATTCTTTATTGTGGTTTTCAGATTTTTTTCTTGTACTGAGAGTGGACAAGCTCTTCTCACACATACCCACCCCACACTGAGGAGAATAGGAAAAATTTTTAAAGTTTTTTGTTTTGTCATAAAAATATTCACACCAATGGTTTTGGTTTCAATTTACCATTGGAATTCTGATCACAGACAACAAATACTGATTTTTGTTACCTGAAAGAATTTATTGGATGGATATCAGGCAGTTCACAGATCTTGCCGAAATCCTGAAGAAATAGATTTGGGAAATAAATAGAAATCTAGGGGGTTGGGAGATTTGGAGCCATAGCCAAGGTTATAACAGAAAGAGATGATTATTGGACTGCTATCAACTGGTGTATACATTTGTGTATAATAGTCTTCATTGATTAATCATATCATTATTAATAAGAAAAAAATATTGAGAAAAATCAAAATAACCCAAATATCCACCAGAGGCTACTGGTAAAATAAATTACACTTATATTGGAATACTGTTACTATTATTAAAGATATTGTAGTAGATTAAACATACTCATGGAATGATATTACAGATATAAAAGGTGGAAAAAGTTGTCAAATATTATGATTAGTGTTATTCTAGTTTTGTTTTTAAACTGCATTTAGTTTTTATATATAAAAAAAATTTGAAGGGGCTATATGCCATACTGATAAGAGTTATCATCTCTGAGCACTTGGAACACAGAGTTTTGATTCATTATATTGTATTTCCATAATATCAGAAATAGTTTTTGCTAATACATATAAGCTAATGAACATTCCTTTTCTAGCTAGAGACTTTAATTATCAGATCTTTTCCCTACTGCTTACATTAAGGCAATGAAAGCCATGTTTTGCTTTCTCTGATGTAGATACTAGATATTCCCAACAATTAGAATTGATACTTCATTTCCCACTCTCCTCACTCTCCATCATGACTTTCTTACCAGTGAATATTTGAAAAGTAAATGATTAATTTTACATTGCAGTTTCATGACTGCTATGGAATAGTTGGTGGTATGCTTTTGAATATTGCTTTATGAGAGTATATGAATCCTAATCTCACTTGGATTTTGCATGTTTTATCATTTTTTATTATTACCACTTTAGTCAAAATGTATAGTTTTAAGTATCAGCTTATTAGTTCTCATTTTATCATTCTTGCAGAATTCTTGTACTTCTAATGCAGGAAAAAATTTTAGACTTTGAGTAAAAAATCTTAGGTAAAGCTTTTGAAATATCTTTCTTAAGATATTTTATATGTATTTAAATTTGGCCTAAAACTTAAAACATTTTAGTTTGATCACTTTTCAAATTGTGGAATTGAAGTTATCTAAAACTTATTAGACATTTTGCTATAACAAGTCAAGCACATTAAGAGTAAAAGATAATGATTTTTGTTGCCTTGTTTTTAGCATTCCATATTGGGAGAAGGAGATATTTATACACGAAAAAATGCCTCTGTTTAGTAAATCACACAGAAATCCAGCAGAAACTGTGAAAATTCTGAAAGACAACATGGCCATTTTGGAAAAGCAAGACAAAAAGACAGACAAGGTATGAACTCAGAAATAACATTTCAGATCGAAGCTATAGCAATTGTCAGGAAAGACATAAAAGTATTTACATCTAGACTGAAAAGGAAGCATTCAGAAATGTTGAAAATGTTCTCTTTCTTGACCTGTGTGATAGTCATACAGATGTTTGTTTTATAATTATACTTAGCTTTCTATATATGTTTAAAGTACTCGTCTGTGGGTTCTTCTCAAAATTTAAGACTCTTCTAGCCCTTAATAAATTAAGGATTGTTTCAGCTGGACATAAGTATATGGAAGACTCCTTTTTCAAAAGTAGTATCTTTGAATTGAGCATGATTGTGCTTGCCTCTAAACTCAGTACTCAGGAGGCTGAGGTGGGAGGATCTTGAGTTTGAGACTAGCCTGAACTGTGTAGCAGAACCTTGTCTCAGAAAACAAAAACAAACACAAAAGTAATGTCTTGCTACTATGATTTTTTTTTTTGTACCGGGGATCGAACTCGGGACCTTGCACTTGCAAGGCAGGCGGCAGAACCATTGAGCTAAATCCCCAGCCCTACTATGATTTATTTTTTTATGTAATTTGCCTTATTCTACACATCATTTCTTCATTTATAGTGATTTATATACTATAAAGTGATAAAACTATATTTGTTTTATCATATTGAGAAAACCAGGCCATAAGGTCAAGTGAAATAAGACTCATACTTTTAAATATTGCATGGTTTCTCTTATATGAGAAATCCAAAGTATAAATAATTTAAAGGGAAAATAGAAGATAGATAATAGGAAACTAGGAGATAGATCTTTCTCAAATAAAAATGGGACCAAGAAATGTACAGAGGGGGGAAGGAGAAATAGAAAGTATTAAGATGTGTTGTATACGTATACCAACTCCCTACAATGAATGTCATCATTATGTGCTACAAACATGTCCTAATAAAAATTTTTAAAATAGTAGGGCCAGGGATTTAGCTCAGTGGTTCTGCCGCCTGCCTCACTTGCAAGGTCCCGAGTTCGATCCCCGGCACCAAAAATCAATCAATCAATCAATCAATCAATCAATAAAATAGTGAGAAAACCTAATTGTTAACTAAATTAATCTGCTTTTTGCCACCTGTTTTAGTTTTTGTTTGTTTGTTTTTGGTATCGGGGATCGAACTCGGGACCTTGCACTTGCGAGGCAGGCACTGGAACCACTGAGCTAAATCCCCGGCCCTCACTTGTTTTAGTTTGATAAATTTTTATTGAGATTCACTTCTAATTCCCCATTCACAGCATACAATTCAGTGGTTTTTAGTATATTCACAAGATTCTGTAGCTATCACCACTATCTAGTTCTAGATCATTTTCATCATTCCAGACAGAAACCCTGTACTCACTAGCAATTATTCTTCATTTTCCCTCCCCCAGGCCCTTGCAACCACTATTCTACTTTCTGGCTCCATGGATTCACCTATTACTCTTTCCATGCAATGAGTTGTTGATTTTTAGGTTTCGCATAAAGAAAAAGTGATAATGTATGAGGAATGAGTGGGTTCACAATGTGGGTTGTGCTTTGCCAATTTATGACTTTATGTTTGGTCCATTAAAAGATCAGAAAAATGGGGACTTATTGAAAAACCTTAACATAATGCCTTAAATAAAGTCTTGTAGCTGCAGATAAGGCTTCAAAACAGACTCAATTTAATTTTCAAGAGTGACATTTCTATTGTTATTAGCAAAATTAGATTGAGTTCAATTTAAAGATAAATGATTTTAATTATGCCTACTAAGTAGAATATTAAAAGATCTTTTTATATAAATTTTAGTAGCATTTTCCAAAATAAAGCTGTGTCTACTAATGGTTTCCTGTTTATTTATAGCTGGTCTTAATTATAAATAAATAAATAAATAAATAAATAAATAAATAAAGAGGGCTTATGAAGTAGTCTTGTTTAATGGCCTGAAAATTTTTATTCTTTTAAACTGTTAATGGGGCTGGGGTTGATGTAGCTCAGTGGTAGAGTGCTTGCCTAGCATGCACAAGGCCCTAGGTTCAATCCTCAGTATGACAAAAACAAACAACAAAAACAAAAAACTGTTAGTATTCTTTTTGGTCAATAGGCTTCAGAAGAAGTGTCAAAATCACTGCAAGCAATCAAAGAAATTCTGTGCGGCACAAATGACAAGGAACCCCCAATGGAGACAGTGGCACAGCTAGCACAAGAACTCTACAACAGTGGGCTGCTGGTGACACTGATAGCCAACCTACAGCTGATAGACTTTGAGGTGAGCGATCTGTGAAAATATGGCAGCTCTGCTTTTCAATTTCTTTTTTTTTTCCCCCATTAAGTTTATTGGTACATTTTAGGTATAAAATACAGTTACATTCATCATTGGGATCTTGT